ATACATTAAGTATGACTTCTACTAAAGTTAAGGTAACAGGAAAAAATAACTAAACCAGAAGATAATCTACATGGAAATACAGGTCCAAGGATATAGTCAGGTAGGTCTTGCCTAACTGACTTGTTAGAGTTACAACAATGATAATAGATAAACACAGAGCTTTTGATATACTGTACAGTATTTAGATTTTCAGAAGGCCTTTGATAAAGCTCCTCATAAAGATTAAATAGAAAATTGCAAGCAGTGTGCATTCAGCGAAATGCTGAATGATTTATGATGAGAATTGGTTAATCACAGAGTACTGATAAGGAGAATAGACTCAAACTGGACTGATGTAATTAGTGAAGTATCAGGGGGATCTGTCCTAGCACACAGCTCTTGTTAATTTAAATCAATAATGTAGATTCTGGTGTAATTCGTAAACTAGTCAAGCTTGCAGATGATACAAAAGAAGGACTAGTAAAAACTGCAACAAATGTAAATGATTTAGAAAAATTTAAGACTTTATAAACACCTGGCAGAGGAAAAGCACAGAGTTTTGCATGCAGGTAAATACACTACTCTAAATTCTATAAAGCTATAAATATAAAATCAAAAGTGGAAATGCTGAGATTGAAAATAATGTATTTATGAAAAAGACTTGGGTGTTTACATTGACACATTAAAAGGCTAAACGATGTCAGGAAATACTATACAATTAAAAGCGTACAATTTAAATCAGGTAATATTATGTTAAGATTATACAATGGACTAGTAAGGCATCATTTAGAATTTTGTGTACAATTTAGGTCACCACATTATAGAAAAGATATTTATATTTTGGAATCAGTCCAAAGAAGAGCAACTAGATACATTCCTGGCCTTAAGGGACTGCCTACAATGACAAGCTGAAGGAACAGTGAACACAATGAGAGGCCCTGATACAAGTATTCAAAATCCTCAAAGGCACTGACAATGTAAACCAAGCAGACATCTTCAGAATGAACAGTGAAACACAAACCAGACAACAGAACTGGAATCTACATGGAAGTGCAATTGAAATCAAGAACAGAAGGCAATTCTTCATCCAAAGGGCTATGGGAGTATGGAAGAAGCTACTGTACCAAGCAATGGTGTTGAAGCTGATACCCTGGTTTCTTTCAAGAGATGGATAGGTCCTTGGATCAGTTACCCTTACTTACAAGACAAATAAATTGGTCATTTTGGTTGAATACTTACTCTAGTTTAAGGGTTCAAGCTGATTCATTATCTTGTCAGATTAAAATGTGAAATATGAACTTTTTATGAGACACATGATGATAATTTGACACAACCGGCAAATGCAAGTATACTGTAGTTAAGATCTGCCACTATCTAGATTTAGTAGATTTGCTGAGATTGACGGTGCTAAAGAGTAAAGCAATGAAGTCTTAAAAAATCAATACAATTTAAACATAAATAGGATGTACTTATATATCATAATATACAGTATACATACAGAATGAACAAATCTGCAGCTAAATTTACAGTACATATTTTACTCTGAAACACATTTTGTATTTTATGCATTCACTAAACAACGGCACCTTGACATTGAATAATTTAATACATTTAAATACAGTATCCTGTTGCTGTGGATTCTTCTCAATCAGCTACACCCTTTTTTGTAGACCAGAGGTTATGTCATCACATTGTTATTTCCTTACAACAGATGTGAAGTCTTGAAATTTCTAGAAGAAAGTTAAAAAATATAGACACCAAAACACAATTCTGGGGCAAAAAAACAAAATGTGATCAAAGTCACAATGCAGGATGCAGCCAGTTGTCAAAATTTTCAAATCCTGTTAAGCATAATTTTTTTTTGTTCCTAAAAGCATCATTAAAACTATTTATAGTTCAATATTTTGTATTAATACCACATTTGTCTGTATCTGCCCATACTTCTTCAAACATATTTTTGTGTTTTAGCTCATAGCTAATGAAGTCAGCCAATATTTTACCATACTAACCCTCTTCTGAAACCTCTTTCCCCTCTGGATTTTCTAGTTGGATTTTTGGGTTTACCTCTTGATTTGAACATAGAAGAAAAAATCTCTATTTCAAAATTCTGACAGCAGTTTTTCAATAATTGCCACCTGGCCACAGCAATCACTGCTACCACCACATATCTGAACAAGACCTGTTCCATCCATACTGCATACAGTGCTGTGCCATTTTAGGTGTCTTAAAAATTAAACATGCTACAAAGTTCTGTGTCATAATACAAATCATCAGTGACACTCTTCTGTACTGTTTATATGACAGTTGATACAAATGTACTGACTTTCAATGTGAAAACTGACATTAAAATAAAAAGGCTGTATTAAAGTACATTTAACAAAGCTGTTTTTTACGTCATCGCAATACGGTACAGTATTGTTCGTGGTAAAAAGTAATTGGATTACATTCGTTTGTGATTGTTCAGTTGAGAAACTTATCATTGTGCTTAGACGAAAAGTTCAAAAACTGACAGCCTACCTGACAGGAGGTAGAAAAAATGGGTTGTCCTGAGATGGCAGTTTATCCATTCTTGTAACTAATTCTATTATTTTTTCAAGCTAGGAACACAGAAGCAAACAATAACAAAATTACACATAAAATGTCGAAACAGGTACCCGTCTCTACACGATCTAGTCTTCAGAGTTTGTCCGTGAGCGCTACTGTATGTACTGTATGTACTGTAGCCATTGAGAAAGAATGAATCTGTGTTTTATTACAATCATACAGTACACTCTGAATTAGATTTTAAAGTCCATAAGCAAACTGAAATTGAAACAACATTTTTCTTCAGCAACTAAGAGGTCCTTTGGTACAACAATAGTGGTATTCATATAACTGATCATTGCATGAGTGTAGTCTCGAAAAATACAAAATTAGGAAAAAATAAAGGTTTATTTTATGCGGAAAAGAAAAGAGACAACGTTTCGGCTGTGGAGCCTTCTTAAAGTGTCGTATAATACATTACTTAACTCGGATCTCTGTAATTACTGTCAAACACAATCCTGGATGACCGCTTTTCTATAACACGTATATTATGAAAATGAAAGTGTATTTTCTGGGCACAGAACCCAAGTTTACGTAGCGAAAAATGTAAGCCTTAATGAACTGACTTACAGTACGTGGCAAATTTGCCTTCTTGACAGTTCGAGATCTTAAATCTGTCTCCAACTTCCGTGCCAACTATTACAATACAATGAAAAATCCCACCTTTCTTGACGACGCTTTGCTTCCAGTCGCTTCCTTGATTCAAGCCGCCACCAGTCTAACTCGGTCTGTTTTCACTAAACCAGCAGAGCCTATTACATTTTCAAGTCATGACATGATGATGCGTGGCAAAGCCAAAAAGCTTTTTCCACTTCACAGCAAGCAGTTAATTTTCCAACGCATTCTGGGTTCAGCTCTGGCACAACAAGTCAGGCATTTCAAGCACTTTGGCACACAGTGCGAACTACCTAATTAAATTCACAACCCCCTTACGCCTTACGCGAAGACAGAATAAGCAGCGCAAGCTGCAGAGTTATACAGAACTTTGAACAAGTAAAATCTGACTTTGTCCTTTTAAAGTTTCACAAGACGCCTTTTCTTTCTCACCACTAGGATCGCAATAGTTTACACGTCTATCAAAAACGCCTTTCAAGACAGGTAAGGATATTTAAAAGGAGTTGCTTGTTCCACAGTAACAAAATATTCTCAGTCGTAGATGTAAGCATTAAATTGAAGCTAAGCACACGGGGGTTAAAGAAAAGGTAACCAAATGAAAATGCTAAAATTTACTTACATAATATAATTCACTACTAATTTCCTTTTTTTTACAGCAACGCAGCAATATCTACGAGTGAAATTTATTTCCAGTGATGGTCTAATTGTACAGTATAAAGCCTTAAATCGAGCGAGAAAAGAAAACTGTGGTATCTTGCAGTTATTAGTCATAAATACAGACCAAATAAGAGTGATTTGCAGTCGTACTTTGGCTTTGATCTTTACACGCCCTCATGTGGCAGAGATATGTAAGAGGGTCTTTTAATATGTTGAAAAGTTACTGCAGCGCCTCTCTTGACACTAGTTACAAATCTTTTAAATAGCTCACTATTCTTAAACTGTTTTATATTAATATAATACTGCTACCAAAGTAGCAGCTCTAGGCAAAGGTGCAAGGCTATGAATAACATCCTGGCACACGCAATATCACAATACAATGGCAGAATAAACAAGAACAGACTAATTCATTATGAACAGCAAATCCTTCAAATGTTTGCATTGACTTATTGTAAACCCATGCAGTAGTAAAGGGTGTTTATTGGATGCCCTTAGCGATTACCGAATACAAAATCAACAAATGCAGATTAAATTTGAAATTAAAAGCACAGCAATACGTAAAAATGTAAAATGCAAAAACAAAAGAAAAAATCTAGGGGCATATGAGGTCTCAAAGTTATCCAAGGCAATAATATACTGTATTGTGCACTGAGGTGGGACTTAAGCTTAATTTAAAGGGCTGAGGCTAAGATGAAAATAACTTCTGCATACACTTCCCATCTTATTATGTTTACACGTAACATAAAAGGCCTCCCAAAAATAGTGATTGTGTTCCATTTAGTGCATGACTTTAGTCTTTTATTTCCTCTGTGTAATTGTTTGAATGTGTGACCAATTTTGATTCTGATGAAAATTCAAAGCATATTTCCAAAGAAATTAATGTTTATGTATGTAAACTGCAGAAACTTAAAAAGCTTTTTCTTGTGAAATAAAATGATGAATGAGGTAAGCTTAACCACACTGGTATATGCCAGTAATAGGGTGTGTCAGGGATGTGGTATACTGTAAGATGCAGTACAAAAATGGCATCTTTCAAATTTCCTCCTTCTGAGGAGAAGGTTAGGAAAGACTGTGTTGTACAAGTTTTCACAAGATGCCAAAATGCAGGCATCATGATTCTATTAACAGAAAGATGTGGAGACATTTTAATGATATCAACTGGAAATTTATTTTAGTCTTAAATAAAACAAAGTCTGAGAATGTTTTGCCACGTTTACAAGAATACACTAGACATACTGTATAAAACACCACCTGAGAAACTTTGTTTTGTGTTAACAGTGTTAAAGACAATGTTACAATTATCAATATTCCTTTAGTAAACCCAAAATAGCTCAAATGTGGCAGATTATAGAATATGCAATTGGTGTACAGTAGGTCAAATACATAATGCCACACCTTCAAACATAAATGTAGTGTCACCACAAAAATACCACAGGGATGTGCCAAATTTCACTTATGAAAAAATGCAACAAATCTGTATGCTGTTGCCATAGCCAGCCAAGTTAAATAGCATTTGGAGTAGTTTAAAATAATCAGTGCAAATCCCAAAATGGTCATATGTAGCTCATGAGTAAAGAATCTAATGACACGTATCATCAGCAGGGCTTGTTGTTGCTTAGCTATTGACAAAGGTTGTATTGCAAGCCACATACAAACTTACATTACCATAGGAATGCAATTACACAATATCAATATTAAAATATGATGGCTTTAAAGTTACAGAATATGCTAGAAAGGTCGAAGCCACAAATGATCAAATAAAAGGGATATTTGACAACCTCAAAATAAAATAAGTGCAGTAAAAGGCATTAAGGAGCTTCATAAATGTCATTTAACAAATAACTTACAATAATTAGATGGTTTAGTAATTGGTTTAATAGTTCAATAAAACAAGACCAAAGCTCAAATTAAATACCTTGTTGGAGAACATGTAAATATTATTTTTTAAGCTTAAGCAGGTAAGCTACTTCCTCTTTCCAACTCATTAATTCCCTGCAAATACAGAACTAGTAACATAAAAGAAATACTAAGAGTTATGTCATTTTCTAGGAGATTATGTATCTACTTGTTCATTCTGTCATTATGTATGAGTACAGTTTGAATTCGTATAAAACATGGTAGTAGGAACATAAAAACTTTATTCCAAAATAGGATGCATGATGGTGTGGCAGATAGTATCACTGCCTTAGAGTTCTTGGGTCCTGGGTTTGACTCCCAAGATGCTCTTCCAAAGACATGCTGAGTAGTTGTGTGTTCTTATTCTTCCTCCTGCCTTGCATCATGTTTGCATCCTTGCCTACAAGGCTCCAGGCTGACACACGGCTCTCTAGGACAAGCAGCTTTCAGATAATACATGGATGATAAAAATGATAAACGTAGAAATACAAAACCTGAAATTAATTTTAAAGACTCATTTCCAGTTTTCTCATAACAAGATGTTGTGCTGCATTGTCATTCAATAATAATAATAAAGGTGATAAATTAAGAATGCAAGGCTCTTCTGTTTTGTCATGAAATATGACACTACTGTATATATTTTTCCTTTTAAATGCTTTGTATGACAATGGAGTATCAAACAAGGCAGTATTGGAGTATTTGTATACAGTGTTCATTAGCATATTATACATTAAGGGAAGATCTTAAACTGAATATTTCTCATTAGAAGATTCAGTAGAAATAGTGTTCACACCATAAGCAGCATTTTACATTTTTAGCAGGAAATTATAAATTGATAATTGTAATAAAATGTACCAAATGGTACACTTTAACAACTTTTAAAGGCCAGTAATGAAAAGGGATTCCCATTGAAACTCAACTCAGACAGCCCAAAGAACAGAACAGCAAAAGATTTTTTGAGGGAAAACACAAAAGCATTTCTTGATTTTTTTTTTCTAAACAATGCTAGCATTCCAGTTTGGGGTTTCTATCAAATTAGAGGAAATTGTGATATTGGTGGCAGAGGAATTGGAGGACAAGCAGTAAAACATTTCTTTTCCATGTGAGCATTCTTGGGGATACAAGATAGTCATGACTAGACCAGCTATCATTACAAAAACACCAGCAATGAGAATCAAACATGAGATCAGACTATCTCCATGATACCAGCGCTCATCAGACAGCTTAAGATAGCATGCTGTTGGGATGATAAAAACAAGGGGGGTGGCACTCAGAACTCCCTGGGGAGAGAAAAATGTTAGATTAATTAATTAATTTCTGCAAAGCATGTCCATAATAATTTATGCATCATTATATGGTACATTAAAATGGATATATTATTAAAAACTAAAAACAAAATATTGTCAAAAGCCCAATGAGACACTGTCTTTGAATCTATCAGGAAATTCATAGCAGTTTTCTGCAACTCTACAAATACAGCCTTCCCTAATCATTCCTCACCTTATCCTCTTTCACTTTCTTTACTCTGCTATAAGAGATTTAATAGTTTCTCCATTACAATTATTAGCAAGTCTGCCAAGCTAAATTCATGCATTGTAAATTATTGAAAACTCCAGGTGTTCTGTAAGTTGAAGGCTTCTTCTCATCAGCCATAAGTTTACTGGACTTTCTTTTTTGTATCCTCGGTTGTACAGTATACAGTATGCCTGGAAATTATTTGTACTTCTTTCTGAGTTAAGAACATAAAAAGTACAAACAAATGAAGTCATGGTAAAGTGAAAGATGGTACTGGAATTAAAATTGAAATCAAAACTTACATTTAGTTCTAAAACAACCCCAAGACAGTCAAAAGCCAAGGATATGACTGTAGAAACTGCCATTATAGCCACGGTCAGGAGAACATGGGCAAGTGTTGTAAGGGTCCCATTAAAAAACATATTGGATATCACCTGTGTGAATCAAATATTTTCATGTCCAAAACAAAATCATATTTTATCAAAAAACATTATTTAAAACCCTAGCTAATTGTACAGCTTGGTCAATATAATAAAGATGGAAACACAATTGGTACACATATTGTTATTTAATCTAATAACATTCAGTCTCTTAATACTTCATGCTGTAAAGATAGATGAAAATTAATACCTCAGTGCCCCGTAAAACACATAGTATTTTGTCCTTCTATAATATCACATAACTTTCTACCATTGATAAAAATATTTCTGCTAGACAATGTTTTTTTGTCCATTTTATTAAGGGAATGAATAATTCTTGATGGCAATGTACAGTATATGAAAGTTTAAAGCCCTTCATTGATATAATGTTATTCTTAATTATGCTTTCAAAGAAAAAAGGGAAAAGCATACCTCCCGTGTCACAAAACATTCAATAGGGAATGTGAGAAATATACTGATCCCATAGCAAAATCGCCCCGCCGTGGCCAGGTTATCATTTTTACAGTAGTTTTCAAAAATGTCACCTGAAACATAAATGAATAGCTGTAGTACTAAAATACAAAAGCAAAGCTGTTGTTAAGCAACAGAAAACTGTTCCTGTGGAGAGCATTCATGCAGGAAGAATATCTGTGATGTACAGTGTATAAGAAACATTCATATGGTACAATAATAAATACTTTTTCAGGTGTTGTGTACTGTACTAATGCTTACCTTGTGTGTATCCCGTAAATGTTGAATATCCGGATATTGCAAAAAGCAAGCTGACAACTACTGCAGAGAGGACTGACGTGTGAGTGACGCAGGACCAGTTACCAAGCGTGCGATTTTCAAGAGAGCCATAAATCATAAAGCTATTGTGATGGCACACAAATGCTGAAACACACAGAATTTTTCTTAAATAGCCTTTAATTAAAAACAAATTCACAAATGTTTCAATACACATTTCAGTAGTTCAGTTAGATCTTAATGAACTCAAAAGGCGGATGGAATGTACAGTATGGAGGATGCTTGCCGAGGCTCACCTACAGTAGATGAGAGAATGGCTGCCTAGCATCAAGGATGAGGAATGCGCTAGGGAGCTGCTGCAAGGATGCAGATGGGGTGGTGGGAGGGCTGCCAAAGAGATGTGCGAAGGGAAGCCCTGGTATGGATACTGTTTATCCATAAAAGAGTGGATGTGGGCAAGATTGGGATCTAAAGGAACAAGTAAAGGTTTATTGCATGCAGAAAAGAGAAGAAGAGAAACACAACGTCTTGGCTGTGAAGCCTTCTTCAGGTGTGAAGACAAGAAATGTTGTGTTTCTTTTCAGCATGGAATAAACCTTTACTTGTTCCTTTGCAGCCTACGTATGCTGACTTGAACTACAAGATTAGGATCTAGCCTACCTCTACAAATTCTGTTCTAAACTCTGTTTATACAGTATGGCAAACAAAATCTTGAAGACATACAGCAAAGGATCAGTTTTTTTCAATATTAAATAGCACTTATGGTGCGTTAAGCTGACACCAATACTCACCAAATGACATGACCCCAATAGCCTGAATTGCATTAGGCTGAGCAAATGTCCATGCATCGTCTGTTGCAGGGCTGTAGAAGAGGAAATAAAATCTATAATTTAATTAAAGGTTACAGCACAATAAACCAAGTAACAAATTACTGCTCTGGATTACTGGGGAACTGAGGTAGTTATCATACTGAGGTATGGTGAGACTCTGAACCAATGCCAAACACAATAAATTCCTTGTAGAAATGTTAGACTTGCCAAGACTTAGCCCAAGTCTTCAATGAATTACAAAACTTCATTCATGCTTAAAGGAAAGTACAGCCAAAAAGGTGCAAAAAACTAGATGTGTAGAATCATTTGCCTATTAAAGTAGAGCAAAAAAATATTTAGCTTGGCAACAATTTGAACCTAAGGTTTGAACCATTTCCTTTTTGATAGCTGTTTCAGGTTTTAAGATTGGAAATACAGGAGCAAATAATATAATAAGTGCTCAAATAAAAAATAAGTAAAGAAAGGCATTATAATGCATAGACATGCTGTACAACATGCAATATTCTGCAATATCTGATTTCTATCTACATATTATCCAGTGCAGCACATGAACACAGCTTTGTTGTTTTCTGAGAGTTAATATTCAACCAAACAGCTTCTGTCAATTTACAGTTTAATCCATAAAGATGTTTATCATGGTCTGTGAACTACGTTCAAAACGGGTTTTGTATTTTCTATACTCTAAAATTTAGGCATCTTATTTTTGTCAAGGGGAAGGATTATAAAACATACTTACATTTGTGGCCCAAGTGTTGCTGTTCTTATAATAACAATCACAAGAATTCCAAGAGTTAACACCAGAGAGAGTAATGAAACCTTTAAAAAAAGATGTTTATTTCGCTTAGAAAAATGGTCAACTGTAAGCGGTCAAAAGATGTCAAAGTGAGAAATTGATTAAACAAATAGTAAATTATTACCTTTCCCAGTTTGGATATGTCACGATATAGAGACAGAGGTAGAGTGAACAGAATACTTGTTAGAAGGATGACAAAGTGACGTTCTGCTAATAGGCTGTCTGGACCAACTACAAAAAATATTAAAGTTTTGTAAACATTTTACAAGTATAGTATTCTAGTATTATAATTATATTTATTTAAATATTGTAATTTAGTTTTATTATATTCTCAATATTCTAAGCCAAATTTAGAGTGACTCACAACACACGTTTTGTAATGAGAAAAATAAAACTGACAAAGATTGACTTCTAGGAAAGACAAGCATTTGAAAGAAAAAACATTACGCAAACAGCTCATATTGCCTACTTTGACTAAAAAAGACAGGATAATTAACTTTACGGGACTTTATTCTAATGTGAGTCAGGAAACTATTCACAACTTGGTTAAAACAATTATACAAGTATTTTAAAATCAATTTAACAGAAATTAAATGTTACCCATGATCAAGAACCTCACTGTTCCTATCTAACATTGGACTGCAGACTACTTCATTTTTAAGGAGTTTCTCTTTGCATGTACAGGAGCATTTTTGGAGATTTTCAGTTTTAAAGAATTATAGATGCCTGTGTGCTTAGATTAATAATAAGTCTTCTGTTTCCATTAAATAAAACTGGCAGTGCCTTGTTAGGACCAGATAATATACTTGTGTTCCACATAACATAGCACACCTTGGTACTATACCGTATATGCAGAATTTACACTAATTTGCATATAATGCAAATGCTAATCAAAATCACAGAATTATATTATTTAATATAACTGTCCAATCCCCTTAAAATGAATCAGATTGAAACTCCCTGGCACTGAGGAAAAATTACACATAGGGGAAATAAAGTTGAACAAAGGAGGAAGGTTTGGTATATGGAGACAAGCTGCAATTCCCCACACTACACTCTAGTGGGAGCTAGACTCAAATTAATGAAGACCATTTATAACAGTAGTGTTCTTCTGTCTTACTTTCTCTGCGAGGAATACTACTGACCATTTCCAGAACACTCCAAATGCATGATCCCCTATTAAGCAGTAGAGGGTGCTGTGATCATTTTAAAAAATCAAGGTCACAACATTTCACACTCCAAAGAAAATATATTTTTTCTCTACAAAAATGTAAATAAATAATAATTGGAAAAACAGATTAAAGTTATTTCACAGGTTCTGTACGAATATAAATTTGTCCAACAACTTACCTCCAGGTATTCTCAAAAACACTTTAGTAAGGGTATCACCGGCGACGATGTTGTAACTAATCATAGCTGAAGAGAGAAATGGTAAGCTGAATATAAGCAGCACTCACAACACCATTATCACAAGCAATCAGTGCTGCGTAGGACAGGCATTATTGTACTGCATCTGCTTTTAAGCTGAGTGGAATACAAAAAATTGAAACACAAGTGCTTTCATATAAATCTGTTAATTGCATTGCAAGGAATAGTGTTTACACTGTACATCAAAAGAATTTGATATTTAAGTAAGGTATTGACACTAAAGAGTATAGGGGAGATTGTATCAGTTTAGTAGAAAAAATAGAAAGGACTTTGACCAGAAATGTAAAAATGCATAACAGCTGTATAATCATGTTGCAAGCATTTTTTAATTTTTTGTCTCCCTTCTCATTTTCGTTTTTAAATTGATTTCTTAACCCATTAGTTACGAACAATCTTACTCATACCGACAAGTAACCTTTGCAATTGAAATTCTTCTGTCTGTATAATCATGTTGAAAGCATGTTTCTGCATTTTTCATTGTCTCCTTTCTCATTTTTGTTTTTAAATCGATTTCTTAACCAAATAATTACCAGAAGTCGTACTCATACCCACAACTAACCTTTGCACTTGAAACCCTTCTACCTGTCTACCAGATACAAAGTATGAGCAAAAACAAATCACTGACAATATCTAAAACATGGGTAAGCAAGAGTAAAATGTGATTCACGGCACCGGCCTTGCTTAGGGAGATCACATGAATAATTGACAATGAAATATTTTAGAACATTTCTGCATGACAAATCAGTGTAAGATATGGTTTCGCAGGAAAGATACCAAATATATTGTTGATTTAATCAAATACTGATTATTAAAATGCTGCATATCTAAATTCTATCTGACTCTAATTATCCAAAAATTAATTGTTCTATAAATATTAAATTTATCCTCCTCCAATCACCTGCAAGACCTATTTGGATGTAAAAAAAATCACAAACAAGAAATAACAGGGAAAAAAAACTGTCAGCACAACAGATAACTTTTAATTTTATTAACAAATATATGGCAAGCACAAACCACATAAATTCTTTAGATTTTGTTGTTCCCTTTAAGAATATTCAGCCAAATAAATTATTGTAGGTAAAAATAATTCGCTTGCATGAAACCATCTGTGATTTTACAGAACCATTAACAGTTTTTAACAAGACTCATGATTATTACAAGATGTAACAACAGAAGTAGTTTCTTTTATCTAAATTTTTTTCAGAAGCTGAATGTCCCTTGCCAAAAGAAAAAAGCTGTTATTTTTCATAAGGCATGAAATAAAAATTCACACATCAAGGATCATCACATCTTGCCCTCACATACTTTCTCAGAAGCACGCAGTCTTGAGGGCAAAATTTATATGAGATCAAAGACAATGACCTGAACAAAAAATAAACCAATAACCCCAGTAATTGACCTAGTACTGTACATTTCTATAGTGACTATTGTATCCATATCTATCCACCTATACATCCATTCATTCATTTCCTTACCACTTCTTGCATGAGAATCAGCAACAGTAACAGGGCAGGACGGGACAGGACACCAGTCCATCACATGGCAGACACACACACAGACACATGCATAGACACATACTGTACACACTTTTCCAAGAAGTCAATTAATCCACTATGGTTTTTAACTTTGGGAGGAAACTGGAATAGCCAGAGGAAACCCATGCATACACAAGGAGAACATCCAAACTCCTCATAGACAGCACCCCAGGAATTAAACCCAGGGCCCTGACACTGCAAGGCACCAATGCTAACCACTGCACCACCATGCCACTCAACTGTCTTCATATGAGAAACCTAAATAAAGTTATACCACAATATTTTCACAGCAAAACTAGCTACAAGCAAACTTAGATCAATGAAAAAACATCTGTTCTGATAAGCAGTGGCTTGGTAATATTTCAGTGTCACCATGTACAGTACAGGTAGGTCCTAGAGGACAAAATATTGTACATTGTTACAGTATTTGTTTATTGTATTTTTTTCAAAAGTACAGTAAATCAGATATATTTAATATGAATGGATGTAGAGACATTTACAGTCTCACTTATAATAAATAACAAATAAAAAATGGAAACCAAGCATTTAGAAAAGATGCTAGTAAATTGACTGATATGTAAGATGTAGCATGCTCACCACAAAAGTGTATATTAATTCAATCACTAAACTAGCACATGTAATACAGATATAGCAATGGAAATTCAATGTTCACTGTAAATAGAAAGAAATATTTCAGTTTGCAACTAGTCCTAAAACATTTGGTATTCAGTGTTACACAGTAAGACTTGGTTTTAATATCAGTATTATAATAATTTGAATGTTATAATACTTAACAATATACTTGCTATTCTTTAGGAAAAGGGGGATAGTGTCATCTTTCATTAAATAAGCTTAATGTGTTCTTTATGACAGACTTTAATGAGGTCACATAGTATTTTGACAATGGGCTTTGAAGTGGATGGTAAATCTTTGTGAGATGCAGCTAAATCAATTTCTTGATTTAATGCAGGTACATCAATTTCTTTTGTACTCACATGACTTACAGTCACCAGCTGGATTCTCTTGAACCTCAGTCCCATTTTATGTTGAAAGCTTGGTAGATACTGTTTATTAATATAATTTCTAACTATTTGTAAATTAAATACAATTTACAATAGCACACTTCAATTTGCTTGTTAGAAAACATTATGTCTTGGATCTTCTTTCTTCCAAGGAGGAATATTTTACCATTCTGTAAACCTTTCTAACTAACTCTTAGATACTTACCAATAAAAGGATATAAAAACTGCAGGACAGATAAAATAACATATCCAGTCAAGCCAAATGCTCTATTAACTAATGACTGGTATGTCCAGGTTCCTGATATATTTCCTCCTTTTATGAGCAAGATGATTGAATAATCTGTAGAAAAGATAAGTATTTACAGGTTAAAAAAATGCAGATGTACCTCAAATTCATTACAAAGTAATAACTATTTTGAACAAATCAGTAATGTTCATCACTCAGCTACTCAGTCACTGGCAGTCACTATAAATAGGATGATAGTACTCCATAGTAATCCATGTTCACTAGGATACTGTGAGGCAGATTGGAATTTACTGTAAGTCTAAAAGATATGAAGTATTACCCTTTTGCTCAGACAAATATTAGTGACTAATTAAAATGCACAGGAAGCTCATAATACTGATCATGTGTTCCATTACTACTGCTATCAACTAGTGAAGAGCTTATTCATGTCAGTGTTTTGTTTGGGAGGGTGTTATATACAATAAACAAATGCTATACTGTATGGGTACTTCAAATTAATAACCGAACAGCAGCAAGAATAATAATGAAAATTTACAATAATAATATACTTTATGGAGATTTTGTCATTAGTATTTCTCTGCAAGGCAATTCAGCAACAAGATTCAGTTAAGCAAAGGTACTAATTTCAAAGTTAACAGATTTCCATTAGAGCAATTTTGAAATACCATCCTGTTTGTTTTAAAGAGTCCAAGTAAATAGGATCACTGCAGATAAAGTAATATTTTAAGAAACTATAATTCCACTTTTGTTATTTTCAGTGAAGCTTGTTGAATATTTTTTAATTCATATCAGCAGATTCAAATGTTTCAGTATATGCATATTGCAGATATGATCAATTTGTTTTTCTCCTACCAGTTATAAATGCAACTCCAAAGAGGAGCAGAATTCCTAGAGGAAAACCAGCTTGTTTCATGGAATAAGGCAGACCTGGAGAAGAACAACATACAGTATAAAATACCACATAACTTTTTTTTCAACGTTAAAAGGAATGTTACCTCAAAGATCAAACAAGCTGATTTTAGTAATATTCCAATTTATAACAACCAGTTAACAGTAGCATGATTTTAATTTTTTATGCATGGTTAAGCAAATCTCATGATCTCTGGTAGGGGGAACTCTAGCAGTACAGAAAAGAAAAAGCTTTAAAAAAACACATTTCTAATCCTGAAATGTCGGCACCCACATAAACATTATTACCTATTATTCCAGATCCAATGATCGAATTTATAAAGTTAAAGCTGGCTGAAGAAAAACTGCTTGTTCCACCTTCACCTTGACATTTTTTAGAAGGAATCAAAGCTTTCCCGTCGTCGGTTTCTACCTGAAAGTAACAAACAAGGCAAAACTTAGTCATAACAAAAAAATACATAAAAGTTGTTGTCACAGAATAAAGTAAAAAAGTGATGATAATAATGAGGTATAGGTATTATTAAAAACTAAAAGAAGAAATGTCAGGTGCATATACAGTAGGTGAGAAAAAAATAAGTTTCCTTACTGGTTGAAGCGTGTCCTGTAAAAGTTGATTTGTGTCCATTTTCTCATTCATTTGACTTTTAGAAAGTTACAAAGCTACAAGACGCAGACGCTATGAAAAGTTATTTGGGCTTACAGTACATTCCTGCCTTTGAACTGAACGAGGCAGCTACAGCAGCGTATTGTAGTAGGGCTGAACAGTACTATCCTTCTCGTACCCGCCTATTTCTTTCAAGATATTGCCGGGCTGGTTTTCCACATGTGATGACCTTCCCAATTTGATAGAAAATGAGTGCAATTCATTCATCAATCCATCCATTCATTTAGTCAGAAATCTGAAATCTGAAATAGTCAGAAAACCATTCATTTAATCAGAAATCTGATTAATCTTAATTATATTTTTAAGTCATGAAATATTATTGCACTGATGTGTAGGTTTTTGTATGAATGTAGTAGGGCGTAAAGGAAGGCGGGAGAATCTGAAAAACAGAAGAGGCAATTGCTATTATTATTACATTGCTATTAGTAATGCAGAGAAATGTGACGTGTTGGAAAGATCGTCGATTCCTGTCCTTGAAAGCCATAGACCCTTCAGCATTTATATTCAGCGAAGCTCTGCATGACCAGAAAAGAGAAATATTTTCTTATTCACAATGTAGTTAGCAGGTTCTCCAGTTCTCTATTCATTTTCACCTAAATCAGCCAGTAAAACCTGTAGGAGTAAAGCTCTCTAGGGCTAGGTTGTAGAGTCCTATTGTAATATAAATTTGGATTAGTATCCTTCACGGAAAGGGATAACGTATTATGGTCCATTCATGCCAGCTACAGAAGTCCTCAGAAATAATGCTCACAGGTGGTACATTATGCTATTATTCCTTTTCCTGGAATATCATACAGGTGCTAGTAGGTGGAGATCATTTTACAGACAAGGGACATTGTTTGTACAGTACAACAAACAACTTTAATGAAAATGTCCATAAAGGAAAGGGTACATCAGATATTTGAGCAAAGTAATCATAAAAATATGAATGCACTTTCGTATTATGTTTGCCATAATATACTGTATAATATGGATGTACTGTATATTGACAAACAACAAGATAATTTTGCACTCAGGAGGAATTACTTGCAGACTGAGTGATTGATTGTTTTAAAAGTCCCACAGAATTGCCACTTTTAGGAAATTATTTAGCAGTTTACAAATTACTGCACCGGCTTGTGAGTCATTATTGGACTGCCTGATAATTGAAAGAAACTAGCCAAACCACAGATTAAATTAATAAAAGCTCTGTGTATGCAGAAACATCAGTTTTGAACTAAATATTCCAGTCAATGCACATTTTAATAACAATCAATTAAATTGATCAGCTTGAAAAATTATTTAAATGACAGAATTGTATATTCAACAAAAATTAGCTTGTATACAGTCAATTATACCATATGATAGAAAACTGACATTTATTTCTGTATGACCAGTCAGTTGATGTGGATGAGCACTGAATGTCCCCAGGGAGAACAGTTCAGGGAATTAGCTATGAGTATTATTCAGCAGGAAGTACAAAGGAAAAAAACTAAAACAAATCAGGAACCAATCACCATTAAAAAGCTTCCTTTTAATGGTTCCCTTTCTAAATACATTTTATCAGGGCAAAGTGGCAAGACATTCCTACTTTCTAGTAGCGGGCTAAAAATCTCTCATTTTAATAATCTCAGGATTATTAAAATCTCACCAAGACTGGTGAAACCACCTATAGGTTAACTATCAGAGCTAACTTATTTTTAAAACTGACCACATTAGCTTAGATGAAGGTGTAAAAGGACATAAATAAAAATAAAGTGAGGTTTAAATGAGTAAAACATAGTATATACATTACATAAGAACATAAGTATGATTACAAATGAGAAGACGCAATTCACAGATTTCCTATTTATCGCCCACTTGGTAGTTAGCAATTAATCCAGCTAATTACTGGGAAAAGTGAGGATATCAGGTTCAACATTATTACAGGGTATTTTGTTCCATACTCTTATTTTTCATTATATCCTTCAGGATTATGCTTCTTGTATTTCAATCTTGAAAAAAAAAACAATTGTATATTTGGTCTAATGTCAGCACTGACTAATTATGTTATTTAAATGTTTACTTTCTTTAACTTAATCATGATGCACATTTCCAAGATAAAGATTTCCCTGTCTTCGGATTCTAATATTCCCATAATAAATGGAAGCAACAGTTGAATTCCCTTCTTTCTATTAACATACTGTACAGGTCATGATTGTTCATTTATACTTGATGTTAAAAGTCTATGGAAATAGTGGGGTTAATATTTTTTAGTAATTAAAGTTTTGTAAGTTTTAAATTTAGTATTTTTCTCTAAAAATAATACATACATAAATCAGAATCCAGCAGCACTGCTTTTGATAATCTCATTGTTTTGCTAAATTTACCATGTATTAACATACTCTTTTTTATAATAAGACAGAATCATCACAGAACAGTTTAGTTCTTTATGTTAAAAATACTGTAAAACAGTAGTCTGAGCCTAGAAGCTAGACAAACTAAACTCCTATAAATGAAAACATTGTTTCGACATCAAATAAAACACTGCACAAAAGAGCAATTATAGCAGTCTTCTAAAGTTCACTCGTGCCCCTGTTACGTAATTGAATACCAATTTAAATGAAAGCTCCTCTGTTTTGCATTTTTTTTTTAATTCAAGGAACTATGTATCAGCTGAGCAGGATTCAGCTTGAATATATTTCCTTAATATTCCAAGTATTAGAAATATTCAATTTAATAAAAAAGAAAGTTAAATACCCGGAATTAAGACTTCCATGATCATGAATGCCTTCCAAAAACATTCAAATTCTCTGAACTGTGAAATTTATGGAATCTTGTAAGACAAAAATTAAATATAACATTTAGCTCATAATTTACACAATATTCTTCATGATCATATCAGAAGGCTTAATAAACATGCTGACACTTCTGTCAGCTTGGTCCAGAAAAACATAGTCAAGACCTGTCCTAAAAATTAAAGGAAATGTCTTTGCAATGAATAGGGCAATGAATAAAAGAATTGGGTCAGTGAAGAAACCTGTACACTGGCCAAATGGCTAATTCAACTGAAATTAAATAAAGCTGTAGGGAAAGTCTTTAATGAGAAGCTCTGTAAATGTCAGGCAATAACTGGTATGTGATGCGCCAGTCTAAGACCTTCAGGAATAAAATGTATTCTCTTGGAAAAACTGTAACAATAAAATTAAATCAGACCATAGATTGACAAAAGAGCATCCTATAACATTGTGTTGAACATTTCAGTTTCAGTAGGGTTTTTGGTATTATTTAGGTGGTCAGCAGTGCCTTCTTGCCCGCATATATATGAGGAATCAAGCTGAAAAGAAAGAACACAAATAGTACAAAATAATTTGAACAGATGTCAGATGTGCACTATAGCAAACACCTGTTTCTGCCATGTCATTGGTGTACATGGTCATACCTATACAATCAATCCTTCTCCAGCATCTGTGTATCCCACATATTATGGTCTGCTTGTGTGACTCGTAATATAGGGGTAACATATACTGTACAGTATAATGAGGGTGTTTCATCTGAAACCCATAAAAGTTCTGTTTATTAAGTAGATTTTAACTTAATTAATTTGATACATTCTCATAAAAGTGTAAAAAAGGTAAGAAAATACATGTCAATTACTGTCCATGATGGTAAGCTCTTCACAATAATTGTCCTTTGAGGCCCTTCTAGGGGAGATGCCCATGGGATGTTAAGGCAACAGCTACTATACACCAGCACAATACACATTTGAGCAGACCATATGTTAAAGAAAATGGATCACAGGTAACTAATTAGCTTTAATTTCTTGTATTGATATATTTAGAATTGTATTACTAATCAGCACTGGATACTAAAACCAGAATTAGCACCTTATATCTCTGACAAATGTCCTGAGCTTCTTAATTCAGATGAGTCATCCAATGCCATCATATGGCACTTTCTACAGCATATTTTCAATTAAGACCTACTGATTTAGTTCTGGAGATACATGAAGTCTGCCCATTTTGAGGTTTTATAAAGGCCAGACCTTTGTAACTGAAGATTCTGGATATTTCATCACAAAATGTATTACAGAAAGTCTATCTGTCATGGTGAACCTCTTACATAGTTCTAGGCATACCACTCGATTAAAATAAAGTCTTTTAAATATCATGGCTGTTGACCTATCCATGTGTGCTCTTGGCAGTGTACAACTACTTTCTCCACAAAAGCTTAATGGAAATAATGAGGCTCCATACTGGCATCACAAATCTAGACTTGCTGCTAAGCAACAGCCCTCTGATATTAGGATACCCTCTGGAAAAGTTTCCGTGGAGATTTCTGAATTCTGACTCATTGAACACATGCAGTAACTAATGTAACTCATCTGAGCACTAAAGCTTCTTCAGGTGACATTTTAAAAAGGATTCTACAAAAGTTTAGATTCACTATCTTGGAATTGTGCTCATTAATAGTCTGGTATACAAAAGTAGTACTGCCTTATGAATTTATTGGTGTGCTGATAGTAGTGACATTTATCAGAATTTATTTACTATTACAGTACATTTACAATGCACATTTTCTGTGTCTATACAGTACAAGAATCCTTAATATAGAAGAATTACTATCAGTACCAGTAGGAGCTGTATTTAAATATTGTATAAAATGCTACTATTTACTTGTATCTAGAACTTGAAAGTGCAAATTAAGTTGTTCTTCACTTTGTTAACCATGAAAGTTACACAGTGGTGTTCTTTGCACTGTCCCACAGAAAATCTTAACACTTACAAAGTGAATGCACAAAACGTAGTAAATTCACATTTGTGTATTTCATCACACATTCTATAACAAATGTATTGTGCCTACAAAAATCACGATTAACCAAACAAGGAGACATTGGTTTTAAAAAAAAACTGCTGTTACCAGCCAGTAGGATTCTGTTATTGTTTGTACTCAATAATTTTAAAATGGCAGGTTAAGCAATCGGAATAAATGAAAGAAATATTGAGCTCATTTTGGCTTCTGTTTTGTGTTGTGCGGAAATGAGTGTAATCTGATAAGCAAATCTTACAATGAAACATAGGATGTCAGTAATAGATATACAAAATCCTTGGTTACATACTGTGTACAGATTGTCCAGAATACCAATCCATATAACAGAACAGTTTGTAATAAAAAATATACAGTTTTCTTTAATATACAGCTATATTTCTTGTATTACAATACAATAATATATTTTGATTAGTACTATAATATATTACAGTATACCACTCAAAATACACATTGTACATTTTTTTAAATCCAAAACCTCATACTAACACAGACACAACATGTACAGTAGCATTCACAGACACAACATGTACAGTAGCATTCAACTAACTGACATATCTCATTCAATTTTGAAACAAAAATGACCTAAAGTAAATGATTTGTTGTGCTATCTGTAATGAAATAGTGTATTATCATTATTTAAACAACAGCTGCTTCCTGAAATCTAGAGATGGGAAAAGCAGTAACGCTTACTGTTTACTCTTTTTGGCAATGTGCACTATTTGCTACACTGCTGTGAAAGCAAAACCAGTACTGTATATTCTTAACTGCATCACCTCTTGTAATGCAAACTTCAAAGATCATAAGGAGAATATCTCTTATAATCAAAACCACAAAAAAGAAAAAATTGAAATGCTGTATAGACAACATTTTTGTTATTATTTTAAGATATAAAAGACAGTTATACAGTATCTGGGAAAGAGTTTATGTGTTCTGCAGTATTCCAATAGCTTCAAATAAGACAAAGAAACATGCTGTATATTGAATAGCTGTCACTAGATGGCATCTGTTCACTAATGTTTTATTGTCCCTTTAGTTCTCTTCATTCTCCCTTTCTCATCCCACCCTAATCCCTGCCTTTTTAAAACCACCCATCCATTTAGTCTAACCACTTTATCCAATACAGGGCTGTGGGAGAACTAGCAGCGTCTACAAGACAGGACACACCCTGGATGGGATACCAGTCCATCCCAGGGCACAAGCAGACACTAACACACACACTCACACCAGGGCCAATCTTCCCAGAAAACAACGAATCTACCAGTACCTGTATGTCTTTGGACTGTGGAATGAAACTGGAGCACCTTGAGATAATCCACACAAACACAGAGAGAACTCATAAACACCACGCAGATAGCACCCCAGGAATTTGTCCCAGTGGCCCTGTGCTGCGAGGCTGCAATGCTTAACACTGCACTATAGTGCCACACACTTTTTTAAACCTTATATTTAAAATAATCTTTTTGTAAAAACATATGAGTTTTTCACATAATTTATACACATTTAGGTATTATTTTGAAATTATTTGTCCTTAAACATTAACTTTGTTTGCTTTTGTGTGCATTCCTTTATACTAGAAAGACGCTGTGAAATGAAAGAACATGTTGTGTCACTTTTATTCATATTTTAGATATATGGTACTTATGCAATTATATAACACTTACATGGTACTGTATAACTCATACAATTCTGAAAATCAAAAGGAAAAAGTCCTGAAGTTGTAACTATTTATAAAATACATTAAGAAAAATTTGCTGCTACAATTTTTAAATGTTATTTTTCCCTTAGTCTTAAGGTTGTACTCTTTTGTTTTGTAGTACTGAAAATTATAAGAAAGCTTTACATATTTAAAAATTATTAAAAGTTGGGGTTGGTCTGGAAAAATGTTGTAGTGTACATTTATATTATATTACATTTATATTATGTATATTAAGAATTCATTGATTCTGACAAAGAACCCACAGACATAAACCTGAAAAGCAAACTCTGTTGTTGAGATCATACTAACTCTATATTGAATGTTTTTGTTTTTATTGTGAGCAATACATCTGTTTCATATTAAAAAACAACCATTCATTTATCCAGATAAAACAATTGAAAATTTGCATTTACAATAATAACCTACAGAGTAACCCAATTGTAGGACAATTCGTTTCAGGTCTTTCTTTACACATTTTAACTACAGAGTTCAAAACACTCTTCTAGTGCTCCAACTCTGTAGTGCTCCAACCCTGATATTGTTAAAGTACAAAATACAAGAAGGGAACATTTTCCAACCTATCTAGTCATCTGTCTACTGTTTATAATGTATTGTTAAAAAATGAGAATATTTGTGAAATATATACCGATTGTTGCATGTATAGTAGGTCACAGCTGTCTGTAAATGCTCCAAAAATAATAAAAGATAAACTTGTACTGTACATCAAAATCCAGTAATTAACTTACTTCAATATTTCAGGTGCATACTTAAAAAGAGGTACTGTATATGGCATATTTAACAAGAAAAAACGAAATCAGAAACCCAAATCAAGACAACATTAAATCACGTTGATACCACACACAGCATTCAAATATAAAAATAAAACTGATTGCACTTCTAAAGGTACTGATATTTTTGCCTGGCTAAAATTTAAAACTGTGGATAAAATGACCTTGTCCAAACGAGTTGATCTTTCTGCTGAAAGGCAGCCTACTATACGTCTGGAATTGGATGTTTTAAGATGAAATCTATGATAGGACTTGCTTTCAAAATTGCCCTTGTTACGTAATTTTCATGTTACCTTTCAAAACAACCGACTGTCTGCAGCGGGTTGCTTACAGTTTACATGGGGATCACGCAGACTTTCCTTCTTGACTGTTCCAGGAGAGGCGTGAAATTCTCAGAGGAGCTGGCGTCATTCCTACCCTGTAATGAATGACCGGAAGCGATCAGGGTGTTACAAGGCGAGACTAGCAGCTTCTGTTTAGCTCTCTCCTATGATTGTGTTTATCTACTATAACGAAGAAGATTTTTGCCTAGAGAAAAAAAATCTATCATACGATTTGGTAGATCTGCTTGCTTAAAAAATAGAGATTTACTCGCAGGAAAAAGAAGTGATCCACAGAACATTTCCAGATAAACCACCAGCCTTGGTTGATCATGGTGAGTAGATAGAGGGGGTGGCTGGGTTAGGATCGCCTAAAAGTGGTGAAAATAGTATGGATACATTTTAACTCTATATTACTGAAAATAGACGATGAATCAATTAAATTTATATGAACAGTTTAGGTAAAGTAAATTTCATTCTTAAAAAAAACAGGTTCAATGTCCATAAAGCATATATATTTGAACGATCTTATCATGTTGACATTTTGACAAGTATTATCAGATTTAACAGTTCCCTTCTTAAACCATGTATAAAAACGAATATCAGCCGGCTTTAATTCAATAATAGCCGTAGAAGTTAAGCTTCTTAAAAGCTAATTCTATGTCCTCGCCGTTTTCCTTTTTAGTGCCGACACAGAAAAAGGCGTCAGCTGCCATCAATATGATTTTTACTATAATTTGACTTCTAACGTAAACTGTCTCACAGAATCGACCTTCATTTGGCCTTATTGAACATTTGCATTAAGCAACATATTACTGCTTAAATAATGGAATCCAACGTGTTTTACAGTTTTATAATCCAAAGCATAATTCTTGCCTGATTGGACTGAGTCGGTACTATTATAAGGCTCGTTTGGTGTCACAGCATTATTATAAAATGATAATAAACTTAATTCGTATTTTATTTTTAGAAGTCTCGAGAAGACATAGAGCTTTAAAGATCTCAGCCTTGCTGTTGAAATGCTTTTAGAAATACAAAAACAGCTATGGTTCGGATTGAATGCGAAAGACAATGTACAGTATACTGTACCTTTCCTAGACGACAAAATTGATATTATTTTTTTATACAGTAATTCATAGCAACCACTGTGTATCTACAGATGTTTTTTGGGGAATGCACAAATAAATGTTCTCAGATTTCTTTAAAACATGAAAGCTTTGCAGTTTTTGAAACTGCCTGACATGCTTGACGCATATCTTATACCACTGACTAGAAAAAAATGCTTGTTTTCTGCTTGTGCCACCGGGTTTAGTTAATGAACGTAATGCAAGCTGTTGAAATAAGCTTATATCATTTGTGAGTATAAACGCAATTTTAAACATTCCGTGAAATAGATACATCACTTTACTGATATATAACTTAAGGAGATAAAGAGAAGAAGAAGCTGTAGTTCTAGTGACATCCTCAATAAATATTTTATGACTCTCATCCATCCTAATGTGCGCCTCCTTCTGAAAGTGTAGGTGGGGAAAGGGGTTATTACAGTAGTGGCCATGGGAAAATAAATCTGGCAAAGCTTTTCTGTCCAGTAATTTTCATAACCTGTGTATAGTACACGTGATATATTCTCCTACCAGCAACCACAGCGAAACAAGAATCTAAACTGGTAACTCTTATTGGGAACAGATTAATCAAATTATTTGACGACTGAAGTTCAAATATTATTGATATGATTGGATGTGAGCTGAGTAACATTTGCAATGGTAATGCAATGAAGAAACTAACTCACGACTACAGTGATATATTTTCAATAAAATAATATAAACCGGGATTTTTAAAATATTATTTTACCCCACGGATAAACTCTGTCTTACTAATACTGCAACAGAAAGCCTGAGTTCTAAAAATTTAGGCATTCTCTGTTCGAAGTATGAAGCAAGGAGTGGCTTTAAGCGTTATTTTTAAAGTGTGAATGATTTGACTGGTTTGGGGGGCTGTTTCTCCTCTCAGACTCGTAGAGCAGGGCGGAGATGTTGCGGTAAGAAAGGCTTAGAGCCTTTTCCATGGAAAATAAATGAAACCTCCAATATGGCGACAGCTGCAGCTTTCTCTCTCTTACCGTGAAAATCTGCAATGGGCAAGGTACCTTTTATGACGACGTCTGCTCTTCCAAATGTAAGGAAGTATCGTTTTATTAGATTCCTGGTGCATTGGAATTTAAACATTTACCAAATGCTTGTTTTACCTGTTAATATTGTGTCGCAGATTGATGTTTTTGTTTATAAGCAGAAAAGCTCAAGTGTTGTTTTTCTCGTGTCTTTTTTTGGAAATTACGATTTGACTTTCACGAAGCAATGATGTTTCAGAATGTTGACAGAATTATACTTGTTACTTGTATTAAGTAAAGTATGAACATAATTTTTGTGTGCGTCGATATGTACTGTATGTACATACATACAGCAAGAATGTAAATGAATAATCGTAAACATTATTTATCCCAGCAGTAGAAAATGTTGCAATTGTTGTCTTGATACAACAGACTTCATAACTGTCGTTATTTAAAACTTTATACTGTGTTATAGCTGGTAATCTGAAGTAGATTGACTCATTGAAATAATTTTATTTTAAATGAATACATTGCTAGCTTGTTTGGTGTTTATTGTTGTTAAGAATTCCCATGCATTGCAATAATATTAGAATATTGAATTTTGCTACAGTAACAGACTTGTATTGTGTATGTGTCTGTGTGTGTCTGAACCAATGCATTTCCAACGTTTGTATTACTATAATTTATGGTACATCCTTTTTTCTGCTTGGTCAACCCAAATCCCAATAAAATTACAAGTAAGACCAGAAGTGATGCATATTTTGTGGAAAACGCGAACAGATTAATGCAAGATTGTGATATAAAGCCTGGGGCTAGTCAGTTTAGAATCATTTGCACTATTATAGCACCCAGTGTGACTAATATCCTTTGACCTTTTGCTCTTCCTCTTTTGGGCTTTTTCGTGAATTAATGGTAAAGACCCCATTTCTTTTCAGACATCCGGCAGCCATGCTGGGAGCTGTAGGGAGAAATTTCTAGTAGGACCAGCACTAACGCATGAATAGTCAGGAGACATTCAGTTCTAGAAATCCTTCATCAAATGGAACTTGTATTTTCAGAGCATTTTCTCTTTTAGACTGGCTTTTGTGTTTTGTTTTAAACTGGTGGTGATATTTTATTCGTGTAGGTTTTTTTGCATCCACTGTATACTGCACATATGCTTCTATATAATCCCTTCGGTAATAGATGCCGATGGAAAAAAACAAACGTTTCAAGCATCTTTTTGCTGGTGCCATCTAATATAATAGCGATTCCCTTTTGTATATAGATATTAACTCAGTTCGTTTACAGATTCCTGAAAAAAAGAGGCTAGAACATTAAGCTTACAGAACTCTGAGTATAATTATTTAAACCGTCCACTTTACTTTCATTTATTTAGATTGTTTTAGGTGGGTATTGAAACTGGCATTTTTTGTCTTCTTGCGGTTTTAAGTACACGTGTCACTTGGTGATATAGATTGAAGTAATTTAATGAGCCAAGTGGTGGTTTTGTTAAGGAGCGCAATGTAAACCAGAGGCGATCGGGTGGCGAAATGGCGAGTCATTCGGGAAGTGTTATGGTGTGGGTATTATTTGGAATATTGATTGCTTCATCGTCTTATATTTCTATCGTCCACCTATTATGATTGATGTCTATGTAATGTCCTTGCACAAGGTCCGTCACACATAACGATTAGCATTTACGTGTGTATAGAATGAAAGAAAAAAATGGTTTCTTAAAAAAAAAAACTTTTTTCGAAAGTATTATCTAGTGATACGCCATAATAGCAGAAGCGAACCACTCCAGCTATTCTGTTGGAAAAGCTTTCAGCACCTTGGACAGCAGCACTCGACTACGCCCATAGACACCAGACGTTTCTGTACAGCATAAATAAACATGTCTACCGTAGATCGGAAACGTACAGTTTTGGAATGTTTCAAGAAATACTTGACAAAGGGACTGTCCGTTAAGAAATATAGCCATTTTTTTAGCTGTTGTAAATTATTAGTGTGCATGTTTCATGTATCTTGTTGTCGAGCTAAATGTGATAAAATCAACAGTGGCATGAATTGCAATTTGTATATTAGCAAATTGCAAACAAATGAAACCGAAATTATACAATTTGGAAGATAGATTATCAAAAAATTACCATTTTGTCCTTTTTATTGATGTTACAGTTATTACTATCTAGCAATATTATCATGTGAAAGTCTTTTTACAATTTGTTGTCCAAAAAGGCTATGTAAACACCTTATTTTTTGAAAGTATCAAAAATTTAATATATTTGATTTATAATGAAAAATACTATTTATTTGTCAGAATATCCCTTACCCCTCTTGACCCACAAGAATATAAACAATATAAGCATTTTCTAGTGAAAGTCAGTCTGTCAAACTCTGTAAAGAAACGTAATTCTTTACATCCATTTAGTCTTATTCAACCACCTGTTCTGACAAAATGAATATAGTTAAATACTTGCCAGGATATATCGTAGTAAGGTTGTCATTTCATAAGTGTGTGTAAGAGAGTTAGCATACAACTGCAAAGGTTAATGTAGCATTATCCATTACTATTAGTAGATATTAAACAAATGAAATTTTTGCTTTGTTATGTTAAGGTTCCTGAGATTCCTAAGAAGTGCCAAGCTGCTTCTGAAAGAACAGTGAAATAGTTCTCCTGTAGTTAACCCTCATAAAATCAAATAAAAATCATTTCAAAATGTCCTAGAAAGCAGATTGCTTCTTAAATCTAGTGAAGGCAGATGCATGTCTCTGCTGATGTTATACGTATTAGGGAAGAGACTGTGAAATTCATAGTTAAATAATAACTCATACACCATCATGCTACCTAAAACGGGAATAGACTATTTTCCAGATATCATTAGGTTTGCTCTGAAGGTGGTAGGTGTGGGGCTGTCTTGGTTCCAAGCTGTGTCTGGCACAAGCATGTGTTAAAGAAGAATATATGTACTTAGGCTTAAAAATAGCCTAGCACTTAGAGTTGCAACACATTTAATAACAAAGTTATTGTCAAGAAAGTAACATAACGTTTCTTGTGGCAGGTGCACTGACATTGGCACAGGTGAATTCATCGTGCTGATTAACATTTGCCATGAACAGTTGATCAACAGGAGGTCTGCTGTAAGAGTCATAGGTTACCAATGTGTGTGGGCATTGTTGGAAGCAATGCAAGCTGTACATCTGCACCACATATTATACACTAGGTTGCAGATGCTGTCCCTTTCCTCTCACAGAGCCTGGGCATGCAAGGCTTGTTTACTGGTCTCTGAGCCCTGGGTGTCACAGGACATCTCAGCTCATCCCACAAATGTTCTATCTAATAGGGCATCAAGAGCATAACTGTTGTAATATCATCTTGCAAGAAAGCTGGCATTACAGAAATAGTAAGAGTACATGTGCTATCCTGTTGGAATGTGGTCACATTAGGATTAGCCTGCAGAAAGGGTAACAACTGAGTTACCAGGTCTTGATCAATGAATCACTGTGCAGTCAGGTTGGCATCACACCTGCACCTCTCCTTTAATTGGTATGATGTATAAAATGATTTGAATATATTTCTGTACATGAGCACCACACTCACTGACAGGGTGGTCTAAAAAACACCTTGATCCATCATTGAAGAATATCTGACTCTTCTGCTGGAGAGTCCACCTGAAGTGTTGCACATGCCACCTAATTCTGATGTTCAGGTGTAACATGGTATGTGATGAATGATCAATTAATAAAACTGATAAAATATTGAATCAATACCCAAATTCTATATACAGTACATTATTATTATTAAAACATAAATTCATAAATATACCTTATTTTAAAAAAGAACATTTCTAAAAAGAGTTTTACATTTATTTTGATGTTATGTACAGTATATTAATGTAGCCTATTAATCTATCATACATATTTAATGATAAACAACTACCAAGGAGGGTATCTCCTCCCCCTCCTCTTTCCTCCCACACCTATTTATCTATGAATTCATCCCTGATCTGCCATTTCTGTGAACATTCCCATATTGAGCAATTACTTTCTAGTAACATAGTAGCGTGCTGGAACTAAAGATAAAAACCAAATGAGCAAGATGGAATGAATAGCCTGGTGTCATGTGCAAACACATACTCTAACACAAGTAAAAGTATATCCTTATCATAAGATATAGTGCCTTGCAAAAGTATTGAGACCCAGGCACAGGTTTCACATTTTGTTGCTTTAAAGCTTGCAGCTATGGCACTTTGAAGCAGTAATTAGTATCTGTTATACACCCACTTACATAAGGGTTTGGTTCCTCAAGTTTTTACATAACCAGAATCTTACATAAATTGGAAGTTACTTTCTTAGCTGTTGCATGGATACATGTAGAGAATTACCACTTATGATAGTGCAGTGATACTCCATCATTTGACCTAGCTTTGTCTGCCATTGAGGAACAATTATTGTCCTTTAATGGTTAACAGGTGTCTTTGCTGATCACAGAGGGGGGTAAACAGCAAGACACCTCTTCCAGCAGCAACCTTAGTTTTTCCCAGGAGGTCTCCCATCCAGGTACTCACCAGGCTCACACCTGCTTAGCTTCACTGGGTTGCCAGTTGTGAGTTGCAGGGTGATATGGCTGCTGGCAAGGGAAACAGTTTAGGGATACCACCTTGAGGCTAATGTTGACTGAGGACAACTGAGTTTTTGTGACTGAGATAGGAGAAAACGTCAATGAGTCAGCAGTATAAGTCACTCCACAAATGGGGCTTGTATAGAACTGAAGAAAATAAATCTCAAATCCTTCATGGGGTTTTCAACAAAGAACCTAATGATACTGAAAATATGTGACAAAAGATTTTGGGGTCACACAAGACAAATTTGGAACTTTTTGGTCTAAATGCAGTTACATCTGATGAAACATGAACACAGTACTCAATCAAGTACTGATTAAAACCAACATCATACTATCAAACAAAGTGTTATATTTATGTTATATAACATGATGTTATATTTATGATTATCATCAGCTAACTTGTGAAGCTTTTCAGTACTGATGGGATCATAGATGAAACAAAGTATTGGCAAAACATCTAGAAAAACCAGCATCAGATCTAACACTTGGACAAAAAAATCAACTTTTTGCTAGATAATGAGTCCAGAGCTACACTGGAATAAAAAAACAAATGAATGCCTCTCGTGGCCCAGTTAAATTCCTGACTTGAATCCTACTGAGAATCTGTGGAAAAACTTGAAAACTGCTATCTACAAGTGGTCTGTAAGTGGTCACAAACTGCGTCTTTTGTAAGGGACTGTAGTCTAAGATTTGAAAGACATAACATGTATATAAAACTAAGTTACAAGTTTTGAATTCAAGGGTTCAGATTTGTGGCTGTTGAGTTGCTGAATTGAATTACAGTGTGGATTCAGGTTGTGCATTGCATTAGCTTGACCAAAAAGAGTGGGAAGGGGGGATAGTGTTGTAGACATATTAGCATACTGAAGTTATCTATTAAGTGTAACAACCATTTTTTTTAATTACTTTAAATTTGTTACTTATACTAAGGCTCATGATCAATCAGTTCCCCTGGCAAACAGTACTTAGGATCTGGTGAATTAAGTAAAGAAGATAGCTGAAATTATTTTTTACCGAATCACGATTGATATCTCCATATTAAGCAATACCTTTGACAAATCTCTGATTTGCCTAGTAGTAAAAAAAATCCTAGACATCAACTAGCTGTCCAAATACAGCGCCCAGATGACTTCAAGATGATAATGGGAGAAAAACTGGAAAACTGATTAGGTTTTAATTTGAAGTCATATACAGTTGTACATTATGACCTACTGTATAATAATGTTGATGGGAATCAGAGTTTATACTCAGTTCAAGCGTACGCAATATGAATTTACCAGTTATTTTATAGTATTTCAGTTAATTAGTGGATTTTGGGAAGACACTGGTTTAGAAATATTGGCAATATATTTTTAGATCAGCAAATTACAGACAGGGCTGTTACAATGAACAAGTAAATTTGAAAAACACCTTTTTATTTTTTTCCCCTTTCTCACATTTCCAATGTTTATAGCCAGATTTAAGTAAACTGGACTAACAAGTGATATATAATTTAACACTAGTTTCACTTCAGTTGCCTGAAATCTGCAACTTGTGCAGTACGTAGAGGGATTATTAATGTAAGAATTAGAGGCACTATGACAAAGATCTGTCTGAATGTTTAATCTTGATTTAAAGACGACAATGGATACTCACAAAGGGGAAAAGACTTGTTTTGTGCTTGATCACCCTCCAGAGATCCTCTGTCTGAGCCGTGGTGCCAGCCTAAGATAATAAGAGATGATGCAATGGTTCACCTGGGTTTAAGGCAGGAATTGTTTGTGTCGCTTATTGTACTGCTGCCCTTTAGAGACAAGCCGCAGTGAGAGCAGAAGAGGTGAAACCTCTTGCAACCTGCAGCTGCACAATGGTCTCAAAGTAAACATCCGTCTCTCTCAAGTCAGTTGGTCTTTGCCTCTTTGTTTTGCCAGTAGAATTATTGCATTGTCAGTTTTGTTTTGAGAAAAGAAAAACAACAATATTGTTACTTATGAGAAGTTAATTTCTTGATTTTGACAATATAGTAAAAGATGGTTAAGAACACCTTGTTGCTTTCTCCCCTTTCTGAAGCAACCTAATATCTCAGCTATAGGTTTTAGCTACAAGGATCCAAACTGTGGCCGTTTAGTTCCTGAATAACAGTGTGAATCCCGTTTGGGCATGGTGTTAGCTTAATCAAAAAATAAAAGTGTGAAATACTGTTACATACATATTGTCTTATGCAAAAGTGCAATAAAGCTTTTGTTAAATGAATTTGTTACTGATACTAAGACTCGTGATCAATCATTCCCCCTATGCATATTAAAGAGATTACGTCAAGAAACAGCTGACATTTTCATTTCTGAATCACAACTGATATCTGCATCGTGAATATGAACCGTACTTAAAAAAATCAGCTTCTAGTTTTTCTTGTCTGATCTAATGCAAGCATGTGTAAAAATGATCATTAATGTATAATGAAATTTCTCTTAATATCATTAAGCATAATATCATTTCTGATGTCTAAGATGAGCTCTAAATAAACACAGTTCTACATTTAAAGATTTTTAGACATAGGTCTAAACCAGTTTGATCTCCATTGGCTCTGACTCTATTCTTTAGTGCGGACACAAGAAATCAGCATCCTGCCAGTTTAGTGTTTATTTTGGCACACATGTAATTGTTTAAGCTGTCAGGCACCCAGCAATTCTAATGACTGCAAATTCTTTAGAAAATCAAAGCATGGGTCATGTTTTGCCTGGGGTTATTTTGGTGAAACCTCCACTGCGTAGCCACTGAAAATTAGAGTTAAGAAGTAGGACAGCGTTAAAAATGACAGTGTGCTCACTTTTCTTGTCTGTGTGTGTTGTAAGAATGGAATGGCACTGGATGGGGGTTGGGATGAACTCTCAATTACAACACACTGAGTAAAGATTTTCTTTACATTTGTTTACTGTAGTTTTTGTTCAAGTGTGTCTCATTATGACTTTATAATTATAAACTGCTTTTTGGAAGTCCAAAAATTATTACTGAGTTTTGATGTACAATAACCCAACAATATTGAGAGAGAGGAAAGGAGCAAGTACAGTGTAATGCATGTAATAAGATAGAGTCCACTTAAATCTATCCTGTTTTAGAGCTGGAAATGGATTGTTTCCTACATTCTGCTTTTATGTAGTGTATTCAACCCTAGTATTAAAGCAATTTATGCTATGTGTAGTTTTATAATGAGAAATGTAATCTTTACGCTACTGCTTTAAAGTATTGTTCATTGAAAACTACTATTTGTGCATTGCTGCTTAGAAAAATGAAATATTTTGCCAGTGTTTTTGTCTTCCAGCAGGACAGTGGCCCTAAACTGTGGTAGAAGCTTTCCAAAGTATGGTATCTATAATAATGGAAGACAAAAAAACTTGTAGTAATGGAGTATCTTCAACACTTGGCCTTAGAGAAAGGTTGGTAACAGGGTTAAAGCATGAATCCACCCTGGCACCTCATTGACTACATCTTAAGTTGGGGTTGGTTGCTTACAGATGTCATATGAGCTAATGTTAAGCTTTCTCAAAGCTTAAGCAAGTTTATTTTTAACCATGAAGCATTTCATACATTTCCATATCTAAATGTGAAGCACTAGTTTTAAAAGCAATGGCTCTCCCACATAATTGCGCTCAAAAGGTCATTTCATCCACATTTTATTTTCTGTTGTATTTATCAGAAATATACTGAATTCCTGTAATGAAATTAATGCTCAGACAACACCCCTGAAGTAGTACAATCTGTGAATTAACTATTTTAACTGAATTTCTTCAATGTCTAAAATGAAAAGCTTAATACAAGTAAACTGAAAATAAACTACAATGGAAACTGATATACAGTATACTATGTTTATACTATACAATTAGAACTAAATTTTAAATGTAAGTCCTTTGCTTGTTTTTTGTAAGATACTGAATCATTCTGGATAATACACTGCATTATTCAGAATACATGTTGTTGATTTTTCATATGACACGTTATTCTTCATACTTGCTTATATTTATGCATGTGCAAGAACCTTGCTCTTCTCCATGAGTGCATGAAACCAGAAATATTAAAAGTACTAGAATATGCATGCAAATGTGCAATATAAATGAATTCTGAAGGTAAAGATTGTTTGGCTCTAAAACCCATGCTTCAAGTAGAGTGTGACAATAAATTACCATTTGTTAGCTTGCAAGAAAACCTGCTTAGCATCCAAATTTTAAATGTATATTTCATGTTCACTAACAAAATCTGAATTTTCAAAGGATGTTGAATGTTTTAATTAACCCGCCTTTGCTGCCGATAGGTAAAGCTTGTGGCTGTTGTAGCACTAATAATTTTGACAAACTCCTTTCCATGGATCTCTTGTATAATCTGAAGTAGTAGGGTTTGCAAAAATCCTGCAAGTGTATTGTAAAATGCATTATAAATAGGACTAATTGTATATGAAAGAGGATATACAGTACTGGATGTTTTAAATATACTGTTTTTTGTTTATTTTGTTACAGCATGGTCACTGATTTCATTGTCTGAAATTAGGGGCATGACCCCCAGACTAGGCACCATTGATATTTATTATGCACATTTTGTGCAACAGAAAAAAATGGAAATTTAACCCTTTGATCATCATTATAACATACTGTACGGTACATTAGGAACTGTCAAGAAATATGAAATCCTTAATATTTTAAAACACGTTACAGGTTACACAATTGTAATTGGAATTGGGTTGTTAAAAAGTAATCTAACAACTGACTGGAATTGTTTTTTTAATAAATACCTACACATTTCTCTATATATTTTCATTCAAACCATGTTTGAATTAACAAGATTTGAATTAAAAGGCATTTGTTACTTATGTTTGTTTCCATAAACAAGATTCTGTTTGAGTTTAAACTTCTTTTTAAAACTGGACTTTGAAAATACTTATGTTGATATTATTTCTATCAAGGTTTAAACAAATTCCTAACATAATTATTAATCTCCTGAATACTTGGCTAGGGTAGGTGGGTCACCATGTCTATTTTTCAGAGAGCACCTAGAATTGGTAGAAAATCATACAGTACATTTAATTTGACAAAAAAGACCTAATGCTATTTGATCATGTTGATATTCAATGATGTTTTAATCTTTATTGAGAAAATGTGAGATATGCAGGTCAGTTTTAAGTGCATGTACTAGTGAAAATACACTAGATTTACCATACATATCGTGATTATATACCAATCTGACCATTAAAATTTTTAATGTTGTAAGTAGTTTTATTAAACTAAAAAAATGGCAAAAAATGACATCTTCAAAACATGCTGCCTTGATTTTAAGGAGAAAAAAATTGAATCCTCTTTGTCAGTGCAAAGAGAAGATAATAGTAAGTTCAGAGTTTTGTGATGCAGTCACACAATTCTGGAAAGGAGTGGAAATGCTGTATTACACAAGAGTTCTTTCAAACATATTCCCTTACATCCATTATAGAAAAACAGTTTTGGCCATCCATGTTTGATGTGAATTCATGTTATTCTTACCTACTGAGATAACTGAAAGATTAAGTATTCAAAGGTAACTCACATACTTTTGAAAATTTAGGGCGTCCAGTAGCATTTGAACAACAAACATGTATTGTATTTGTAACTTTGTAAAATGTGATTGAATTTAAATACAAATTCAGAGAGCATAATGAGCATATTTTCCCACTGTTTAAGGATTATTTACAAACTAATCAATGTTTCTCACTTACATTGGTTTAATGATCTTTAATGATTTGTTCATGATAGGTTTTGATATTTGCTTTGGATTGTTCTTCTGCTAGAAAATCAATTTGGAACCAAGCTCAAGTTTCCTGATAAAAGGTTTAAAAGGCTCTAGTTTTTTGTATAAAAAACATTCATATCCTTGGAACCCACCAATTCCTCGGGTATAATAACAATACTGGGACATACAAAACAAATTAATTTCCCTGCTCAACAGGGGGATGACATTCTTATTAACATGAGCTTTTTGTGTGTCCAACATACCACTTATTAAGGAAAAGCTCAATATGTTATTTTGGTTCACCCAATAACAACACATAGTCCCATTCAACAGGAAGTCATTTAGATGTCATCTGGCCTTCTGGTCAGTTCATTTTCCTTCTTTTTGTGTTGCCATGGAATTCAGCCTTGGAAATCAAATTCATGAGCTCAGTTTTGAACAGTGTTCTGAATGATCACAATGCCCAAGATTGTTGACTGTTCTTAATTGTTGCCTTTGGTACTTTTTGAGAAATTATTCTATCCTTTTGCTGGTAGGTAACAGCCATTTCACTAGCCTAGAACATGGTGAACTTCACTAGCCTGATGTTTGACACTTCATTTCAGTTTAGGATGTTCATTATCTAATGACTTCTCTTTTTTTACTGTTGTGGAGGTTGAGGACCCTTTGTGTGAAATTTGTATGAACAGAACTGGACTGTATTGAACCTCCTTTTTACCCAAAACTAATCAAGCTGAATTCAAGAGAAGCTTAAAATCTCTGTTTATTAAAGCTACAAGAGAATTAAAAAAAATCACTACAGGGTTATATTTGCCACATTTATTTTTGACATTTAAGACGCATTATTTATAAATCTATGTAACAAATTGTGTTTAATATATAATATAAAATAATATTTACCTTTTAATTTTTATTGTTCACCAATATTATTGATTAATGGAATTTCCTTTCTAAATCAACTCCAAATAATTTAAAGGCAACTGTACATACATACATATAAACAAATATATTGTATGTATACACACACTACAATGGACTGGCATCTCATACAGGGTGTATCCTGTCTGGTGCCTGCTGCTTGCCAGGCTAGGCTCTGGCTCCCTTGAGACCATGTACTGGATAAATCTGTTAGAAAATGGATGGATGTATACATGCAGATCAGTATAAAGCACACTATGTGTAGATGCAGTATATACAGTATTTTACTTAAATAACGTTTGTTTTTTTTCATTTTTGTTTTCTCTTGTCTGGCATGATTATTACATCATTCTGTGCCGTGTCTGCTGATGCTGTTGTAATAGGACACCAGTGACAGCCAGATAAATCAGTTTTCTCATTTGATTGAATGTAGTCAAGTTTTTCTCCTCCACTATGTTCCTGTTTGGCATGGCTGTTGCTGTGCTCTAACTCAGCACATTCCTTCCTTGTCTTCAGAAATAAACCTTTCTTCTATCGAGTGTCTGCTACTGACTCTGAGACATTTTAACAAAAATATAGATGTGTTCATGAGATGAAAAGTCATGCTGTGGTAACCATGGCAACTGAGAATAGATGCAAGGAGACACTAGGGTAAATGATCAGCACTTAATGCATTTTTGGTGTTTGGAACAGTGCTACTGCATTGTTATTCAGATATATATTCCCTATTACTATAGCATGCTAGTTTTGTTTAGTCTCATTACATTTCTACATTTCACTTCATTTTGTGGGTCTGCAGTGTAGGGCATATTGTATTGTCATTTTTAATTGATCAAAATAGAGGTTTGCTTAAAACAAAGTGTTAATTTTGAAATGACTGACCATCACCGTGAGCACAGTATAGACAGTAAAGACAAAAGCAGTTTGCTTTTCTGTTTAACATCAAGCAAATTGATGTGGATTTCAAAACATAAGGCAGACAGCACTAAATTAGCCGTTAAAGATATCAGCACCTGATATTGAATTATCCTCCACATGGATTCCTTGATTCAATGGCACTTTTCTCTGGATTTCTAGATGTTTTTGCGCTCATGGTATTCTTCCACTTACTTTTTAATTTCTCACATGCATAAAACATACACTTGTTGTATATAGCCAGCACACCAATCCATTGGTGCCATTTGGAAAAAATGGCAATGCTGGAAGTCAGAATCTGATAAAATAGAAATGTCAGGGAGAAAATGTGAACAAGCATATCCTAAAAATGTAAATGAACTCAAGCATAGACATATTTCTGTTAATTTATTCCAAGCTTAAGTGTAAAGGCCAAGCATAGTTGTATGCGGCAGACTATTCCATCTTTCAGCTATGTTGGAAGGGAGTAACATATAAAGTCTGCACAGCAACCATCATATTGTAAATTCAGCTGTAGAGCAAGGTGTTTTTTTGGGATTGTATAAAAAATGACAGAAGTGGGCAGTAAAGAAGAGTTATGTGAATGAAAAATGAAAATTCAGATCTGTTTTTCAGTTTTTGCTGAACACGGATGGGAGGCTTTTTGTTGTAATTGATATTCATAAGTGTGTAACAGGACAAATACTGTATCTTGAGAAATATATACAGTATGTGATTTGTGCAATATGAACATGTATTGCATTGACAGAACAATTCACTTAAGGAACTGCATTTTTTTGAACAGTGAATTTTGTGGAATAGTATATGATAACCACAACATTCCTTTGCCAATGAGTTGGGGTTATTGACATTATAGATTCATTCTCTTCCTCTTATTCAGTCTAGACAATGAATTACAGCCATGGTGCTCTCAATATCAAAACTAAATTAAAAATGAGAGACAAATGCTTCTCTATTATCAGCACCTGAATGGTAGAATTAAATAGAAATAAATAATTTGTAAATTCCAGTTTCTTTTTTTGTGAGCCCTGATTTTGATCAAATTCCTGATTTAAGTGAATTTAGAGAAGCTGACATTGTATGAGTTCATATGCTGCAGAGTGTTCATCTTGATGGTTTGGACTAAGTGGACAGCTATTGGTTTTTAGGATTATTTGAATATTTTAATACTGCATTAGGAATTTGCTGATTATATTTCTAATAGCACAAACTGAATTTTACTGTATCGCTTATTCAAGTGAGTACAATTCTACAGCAACTGACATACAGTAGCTTACTGTACCAGGACAGCCGCCACCATGATCCTTACTACAGCTGGCCTGTCACACTTCATAGAAAGTCATTTAACATCCATGTGGACAGTACATGTCAGATTAAAGATGACTCTTACTTATTAACTGAAACTGTCTTCTGTTCATTTTTATTTTGTGTTCACTTCTTTGAGACAGAAACAAAACAATTACATAACAGCAGACTTCTCCCATGCGCCTCAGGTGGGCTGTGCTTCCCCCCTCCACCCTCTTTCTGGTGGCAACTCTGCTCTCCTCAGCCCATTGCATTTCACAACATCAGCACCATTTCCCCAAATCATCCAGTTCCTTCCCTGCCGCCTGTGCCCAAGCATTAGAGAAGGCCAGCAAATCTTTGTTTTCTTTTTTGACACACGGACATTGCAATTTTCAATAAAAAGATGGTGCTTCAAAACAAGAGTTGGGTTCATGGGGCATAAACATGTGTCTGAATGCTAGGGCTTGTAAAGCAGTGTAAATACTGTATTGTGAAATTCTGTGTTGTAGAAATATGTTTAAGGAATATTTGTTCTTTGTCTTGCAAAATAAACATTACTAACACCGTGGGCTTTTATCATTTATTTGTTTGTACATGAAGTTACAAGAAACATTTTACCTTTATTATCTAGCATTCTGTCGCAGGTTCAATGCAAAAGTAAGTAGATCATCTTTCTTCCTCTAATGTAGTAAATAGTAGGTGAATAATTGATTGTCTCAGTTCATAACCAACAGCATCATAATGTCTCCTTCATTAATATTCATACTATCGCTCTTTTAGATCCTTTCTGAACTCAAAAATCACGTGGTTTGACCAAAGGAAACTGTAATATTTATATCGGAAACTGACCATCTCCTGCACCCAGTCTTGCCATATGGTTCGTATATTTATTTTTTATTTTGTTGTTGTTTTTTTCCTTCTAGAACTTTCTTATGCAGGAGGCTAAACATTAACTTTGAAGGTGCAGGATGAAAAGATGGCACAACTGCTTGTACCACCAGGACCAGACAGCTTCCACCTGTTTAACCAGGAGTCTCTCCAAGCTATCGAGAAGAGGATTGCAGAGGAGAAAGGAAAGAAACCCAAAGGAGAACGTCCCGATGATGACGAAAATGGCCCCAAACCAAATAGTGACTTGGAGGCTGGGAGATCACTGCCATTCATATATGGTGACACACCTAAAGGAATGGTTTCAGAACCCCTCGAGGATCTGGACCCTTATTACATCAATGAGAAAGTGAGTGCATCCGAAGAGAGACAGAGGGTTTTTACTCTGGACACAGTAGAATTTGGTGCAGAGCTCTGAAGTGTATCTGTTCTTTACTGTAGTGGCTGGCTGTGTCGGATATCTTTTTATTAGTTGTAATATGTTCAGTTTTTCGTAAGTATTGCTCAGAAGCTAATAGATGCAGCTTGTTTTGTGAAGTGATACAACTTAGTATGTTTTCATTACTCCTTAAATACATTGTCACATCAAGGCAAAGGTCCCCCTGGTTGTAGCAAAACAGGGACTGAGTGCGAGGAACCTGAAATCTGCTTTATATGATAATAACACAATCTTTACAAGACAACCACCGAATCATTTAAATTAGGTAATTCATTAATTAAGGTTAATGATCTTTTAAAATCCCATATCTAAAAAACATACATAGTTTCCAAAGGCTGCCATCCTGCAAATCCAGAGGTTGGTGGAGAGGAGGGATGGTAGTGTGGCTTTATGTTTTTAAGCTTGAGGAACAGCCTGTGATCACCATCCCTACTGTGAAGAATGGTTGTGGCAGCATCATGATACTGGGATGTTTCTCTATAGCAATATAAGCAATATATGTCTATGTTCAGGTGGGTAGCTGCGTCAGCATGCGTAGGCTGCAAAGGAACTAGTAAGAAGAAGGCTCCACGGCTGAAACGTTGTGTTTTCTTTCTTCTCTTTTCAGCATGGAATAAGCCTATTATTGTTCCAATATATGTCTATGTACAGTATGGGGTACCATAGTCACCAGGGGTCACCAGGGTACCATTAGTTACAGGGATCATAGTATAAGATAACACTGTTGTGGTTATGCCCCCCCCCCCACTAAGAGTGGTTTGAAAGTCCTTTCACAACTTGGTTCTGAAAGAAAGCAATTTATTACTGTTATTCAGGGGGGCAATCTCTATAAAGCCTATTTTCTACCTGCTACCATGCAAAATGACACTGGATTCCTGAGTCATAACACAGGGAAAATATCTTATCAATAGAGAAAGCAAGCTACAACAGAGCACTGCATCATATGCATAGATCACCACACTGTACTCTTTCTTTCTTCTTTACTCTTATGGCACGATACTGAACAACGTTCTGTGCCTTAACCGTAACTACACAGACAATCTTTAGAAAGGTTTTGCATCTTCAAGAAATCACAATCAATCAGCAGCAAATCACATGAGAAGTGTTATAGTTGGAGATGAACAAGTCAGACTGTGCTCCAGGAAGGCTCTGAAGTGCTCTAAAGTGGAGATTTACATCTGCATTTTTATTCATCATTCAGAAATGCACTTCAGTAGAAGATCACGAAAACCTAAATCAGAATCTGCTGAAAGATGTGCAAATAATACTTTTTTAAAGTATATTTTAGATTTATTAAAATATATATTTAAAGTAACTATTTTAGTAATAATATGACCTTTAGGTACATGAGAATGACTTTTAATATACTGCACATATAAATGATATAAAGCTTGAAATGCATGAATATTAAGTATTTCCTTGAATTTGGTAAATAAAGCAAAATGAGGGGACTGCTTCAAAAATATGATTTGCTTATTTGTTGTCTGTTGATGTGCAGCTTGTGCTTGTGCAATTTGATGTTTATATTAGCTCCAGATCTTTGCAATCACTAGTGATCTTCCAGTCGATAATTTAAGCTACAGTACATATTTCACAACATAGCAAAGGTGT